GTAGGGAAATCAAGTTTGGAGAAATAATACTAACACAAATCAAGGTTATGGATGGAAAAATGAAGCTGGCCCGTCTAATAGGTCACTACCACAATAATAGCAACAACAAGTTGCCTATCCTTCTATGCATGAAAGAACTAGAAAATTGAAGGATACTTTTAATCAATTTATGCAAGTGTCCATTACCAATCATAAAAATACAGAGGCTTCCATAAAAAATCTAGAAGTTCAAGTGGGTCAGCTTACCAAAAGTTAGCTAACATGTCTGGAGGCCCATTTTCAGCAAATGCAAAGACCAATCCGAAGGAGTAATATCAAGCCATAACTACAAGAAGTGGGAAGGTGGTAGGTAGTGGTGTTGGGGTGAGTGAGAAAAATAAGAGTTTGGAAGAGAAGGAAAATGAGAAGAGTGGTAAGGTTGAGAAGGAGATTGAGAAGGAACATGAAGAAAACAATAAAGGTGAAGATGTAAATAAAAAGGGAGAGAGTGAAAAAAAAATGAAAAAGAAAAAGTATAAGAAAAAAGTGGAGTAGAGAAAGAAAAATAAGAAGAAGGGCAAAGAGGTAATTTCTACAGTCACTATTAAAGACCTACCTTACCCTCATGCTCCATCTAAGAAAAAGAAAGAAAGGTTCCTTTGATTTTGGGTAGGCCATTTATGAAGACAGCCTGAGTTATCATTGACATGGATGATGGAAAGTTGAAGGTGAGAGTTCATGATGATGAGGTCAACTTTAATGTTTTTGAAGAAATAAAGTTTCTAAAGGGTACTAAAAAATGCTTTAGAGTTCATGTATTGGATGATGTGTACTTGGAAGCTCAAGGCAACCTTAGGAGCTCATCACCACTTGAAAAAGCTTTGTTTACTATTGATGAGGAATTGGATGAGATCATAGATAAGGAAGTTTAGGATGTTATTGATATTTTAAATAAGGGTGAAAGTTTTTCTTCTAATGTTCAATTACAAGATGAATTGAAGAAAAAAGAGAAAGAGAAACCTGTGAAGCTAGAACTAAAACAACTACCATCTTAATTGAAATATGTCTTTTTGGAGAATGATGGTGAAAAGATAATCATAATTAGTAACCAGTTGTCAAAAGAACAAGAAGATAAGTTGGTTCAAGTGATAAAGGAAAATGAAGGTGCTATTGGATGGACTTTAACTAATTTAAAGGGATTTAGTCCTTCTTACTGCATGCATAAGATACACATGGGGTAAGACTACAAACTAGTAGCCCAACCTCAGAGATGCTTGAATCCAACGGTGAAGGAGGTAGTCAGGAAGGAAGTAGTTAATTTGTTAGAGGCTAGTGTGATCTGCCCCATCTCAAATAGTTCTCTAGTCAGCTCGATCTAAGTTGTTCCTAAAAAGGGGGTGTATGATAGTTGTGAAGAATGAGAAAAATGAGTTGATTCCAACCAGAACAATGACAGGGTGGTGAATGTGCATAGATTACACGAAGCTCAACCAGGCCACTCAAAAGGATCATTTCCCTCTATCATTCATGGATCAAATGCTTAAGAGATTAGTTGGTTAGTCATATTATTGTTTCTTAGATGGTTATTCTGGATATAATCAGATAGCGGTGGATCCTCAAGACCATGAGAAAACAACTTTCACATGTCCCTTTGGTGTCTTTACTTATAGGAGGATGTCATTTGGTTTGTGTAATGCACCAACTACATTTCAAAGATGCATGCTAGCTATTTTTGCATATTTGATTGAGAAATGGATCGAGGTTTTTATGGATGATTTCTCAGTATTTGGATCCTCATTTGATGTTTGCTTGAAAAATCTTGACACCGTATTGAAGTAATGTGTGAAAGAAAACCTGGTACTCAATTGGGAAAAATGTCACTTCATGGTAACTGAAGGAATTATACTAGGTCATAAAATTTCAGTAAAGGGCATAGAGGTTGACCCAGCCAAAGTGGAAGTCATTGCTAAGCTTCCACCACCAACAAATGTCAAGGGAATCCGAAGCTTCTTAGGGCATGCAGGATTCTATAAAAGGTTCATCAAAGATTTCTCTAAGATAACTAAGCCTGTGAGTAACCTTCTTCTTAAAAGTAGTAAATTTGATTTTGATGGTGAGTGTTTAAAAGCTTTTGAATTGTTAAAAAAAAGCTTGTTTCAGCTCTTGTAATCACAACACCTGACTGGAAATATGATTTTGAATTTATGTGTGATGCTAGTGGTTATGCTATAGGAGTTGCTTTGGGCCAAAAAAAGGATAAAATTTTTCATATCATTCATTATGCAAGTCGAGTGTTGAATGAGACTCAAGTGAATTATGCAACAATTGAGAAAGAATTACTTACTATAGTGTATGCTTTAGAAAAAATTTTGTCCTTACCTAGTATGTTCAAAAATTACTATTTTCACTGATCATGTAGCTATCAAATACTTGTTGACAAAAGCAAACTCAAAGGATTTGGAAATCAGAGATAAAAAGGATTGTGAGAACCATGCTGCTGCTGACCACCTATCAAGACTTGTGAATGAACAGGTGACTAGTCAAGAGAGTGAGTTCTTGGAAGAATTTTCGAATGAAAAGTTATTTTCTATGAGTGAAAGACCTTAGTTTGTTGATATGGCAAATTACAAGGCAGCAGGGGTTGTTCCTAAAGAGTATAACTGGCAACAAAGAAAGAAATTCTTCAAGGACTCTAATTTTTATGTGTGGGATGACCCTTACTTATTTAAGATCGGAGCTGATGGTTTATTGAGAAGGTGTGTGGGTCAGGGAGTGAATGCGAAGATATTTTATGGCACTGCCACAATTCTCCATTTGGTGGTCACTATAATGGTGAGTACACAACTGCTAAAGTGTTGTAAGCAGGATTCTACTGGCCATCTCTCTTCAAAGATGCTCATGAGCATTGTAAAAGTTGTGATAAATGCCAAAAAATAGGTGGAATTTCAAAATGGCATGAGTTATCCTTGTAGAATATCCTAGAGGTAAAAGTTTTTGATTGTTGGGGGATTGATTTTGTTGGTCCACTTCCATCTTCATATTCAAATGAATACATACTTTTGGTTGTGGATATGTATCAAAATAGGTTGAAGCAAGTACTACTCAGAAGGTCGATGCCAAGATTATTATTAGATTCTTGAAGAAAAATTATTTTGCAGGTTTGGTGCTCCAAGGGTGCTCATAAGTGATGGTGGATTTGATTTTTTTAACACTCAATTAAGAAAAGTGCTTGAGCACTATGGAGTAAGGCATAAGGTAGCTACAGCATACAACCCCTAGATCAATGGTCAGGTTGAGGTTTCCAATAGGGAATTGAAGAAGATCTTGGAGAAAACTGTGGTTAATTCTAGAAAAGACTGGGCAATGAAGATGGATGATACCTTATGGGCTTACAGAACAACATTCAAGACTTCAATTGGGATTACCCCATTTCAACTTGTGTATGGTAAAGCTTGTCACTTTCCTGTGGAGTTGAAGCACAAGGCCTTTTGGGCCTTGAAAGCCTTGAATTTTAATATGAAGGCAGTTGGTGAAAGGAGAAAAATTCAGTTGCATGAATTGGAAGAATTGAGGTTGCAGGCCTATGAGAACAATAAATTGTATAAAAGTAAATTGAAGGCCTACCATGACAAAAATATTGTGAGAAGGAACTTCCAACCCAATTAATTAGTGTTACTGTTTAATTCTATATTGAAGTTATCTTCGGGCAAACTCAAATCAAAGTGGTTAGGCCTATTTGTGATTAAATCTGTCAAACCATATAGAGCAATTGAACTTGGGAAGCCTACCATTGGAAGAACATGGACAGTCTGATGGAGTCCTCCCTTTCATGGATGAAGTAGATGTCAATGAGGAGGGTCTCCTTTGCCCAATGATCTTGGCACACCAAGGGAGGGTAGTCTTCAAGGGGAAATGGGCGTGAAAGGTGGGAGAAGGTTTAGGCGTTTTGATGGAAGTTCAAGGGTGGTTGGCTCACTCCAAGATGAAGATGGAGGCCACTCTAGGTTTCCCACTCTCCAAGGGTGGAGATAGGAGAAGGCTAGCCGAAGTTAACCTAGTGACTAAGGATGGGATGTTGAGGCAAAAATTCTTACTCAATATCATATAATCCAAATTATTTACAAGATGCATGGTTTAGGGTATTTATAGGGGATGAAGCATTTAAGGTTGCATTTGGGAGTGTATGGCCAAAATTTGCAATGCCAAATGCACTTCAAAGGAAACCCAAATTAACCCTAGATGCTACTTGGTGGCCAAGGATGGGATCTTTAGGTTTGACTAAGCTACAACTAGGTGCATGATAAGACCATGCAACCTAGGTGCCCTCCACTTGGGCCTGTCTTTCCAAGTCCAAAAATAGATCAATGCTCACAAAAAAATACGTCTAGGCCTATTTCTCACCCTAATAGAATACCTTAGTCCAAAAATAAAATCCTATAATTTAAGGCACCCCATAAT